TTGTCCTAAAGGCTGTGTGTCCTTTTTTTTGTTTATTGTTTTGTCATAAATTCAATACTCCAGACCTTGAAATGCTTTTGACCTGTAGCGATATCCGTGTTAGAGCCTGACTGCTGCTTTTAATACAAGAAAGCTACTGACTAATGATTCACAATGGCAAATGTCGAAGTCTTTTCATCTCGTCCACTTTTTTAGTTTATAAATGATTTGTCACAGAAGTTTACTTGTTATAATTAATATGATTTTGTAAATGTTGTAGTTTTTTTTATATCTCACATGAGCTTATGCCATCATTTTACGTAATTCGTTCTTCGTCAGTGTGTCCGTCATGGTAATTTAAACATATCCTCTAAAAACCACTAAAACAATTTATAGCAAATTTGAGAGCTGAATGATCCTTACAGTATCTCGTATAAAGTTGTAATTTGTGTTCCGGTCAAACAACCAACATGACCGCCTTGACTAAAAATATAACACAAGAGTCAATTGCAATAATTGTTAATATCCTGAAAACAATTATAGAAGTCCAAAGAAAAATCTGAAAAACACATTCAAAATAATAAATTCCGTTTTTAGCTCGCCGGGGCCCGAAGGGCCCCATGTGAGCTTATGCCATCACTTGGCGTCCGTCGTCTGTCGTCGTCGTCCGTCGTCTGTCGTCGTCGTCTGTCGTCGTTTGTCGTCGTCTCTGTCGTCGTCGTCTGTCGTCGTAAACTATTTCAAAAATCTTCTCCTCTGAAACTTCTGGGCCAAATACCTTCAATCTTTAACTAAATGTTCCTTAGGGTATCTAGTTTATAAATTGTATCCGAAGTTTTGATCCATCGACAAACATGGCCGCCATGGCTAAAAATAGAACATAGGGGTCAAATGCAGTTTTTGGCTTATATCTCAAAAACTAAAGCTTTTAGAGCAAATCTGACTAGGGGTAAAATTGATCAATTGGTCAAGATCTATCTGCTCTGCAATTTTCAGACGAATCGAACAACCCATTGTTGGGTTGCTGCCACCGAATTGGTAGTTTTAGCAAATTTTTGTAGTTTTTTCTTATTATTTTGAATATTATTATAGATATATATAAACTGTAAGCAGCAATAATGTTCAGCAAAGTAAGATCCACAAAAAAGTAAATATGACCATAATTGTCAATTGACCCCTTAAGGAGTTATTGCCCTTTAAAGACAATTTTACACAATTTGTTCATCAAGTTTGCTAACATTTAAAAATCTTCTCCTCTGAAACTACTTGGCCAATTATCTTCAAACTTTAACTAAATGTTCCTTAGGGTATCTTATTAAATTGTATCCGAAGTTTGTATCCATCGACAAATATGGCCGCCATGGCTAAAAAAAGAACATAAGGGTCAAATGCAGTTTTTGGCTTATATCTCAAAAACTAAATCTTTTAGAGCAAATGTGCCAAGGGGTAAAATTGTTTAATTGGTCAAGATCTATCGGCCCTGAAATTATCAGACGAATCGAAACCATTGTTGGGTTGCTGCCACCGAATTGGTAGTTTTAACAAAATTTTGCTGTTTTTTGTTATTATTTTGAATATTATTATAGATATATATAAACCTTAAGCAGCAATAATGTTCAGCAAAGTAAGATCTACAAAAAAGTTAATATGACAAAAATTGCCAATTGACCCCTTAAGGAGTTATTGCCCTTTAAAGACATATTCACACAATTTGTTCATCAAGTTTGCTAACATTTAAAAATCTTCTCTTCTGAAATACAGGTGAGAGATTCAGGCTCTTGAGAGCCTCTTGTTCCTTAGAGGAATTATATCCAATTTTTTTTTCCTCGTTTTTAACAATTATCTTAAATATTGCATTTATACTGAGATTACTATTACACATATAGTTATAGTATTCTCTGATTTATAAAAAAATGGCAAAATCTGTACACAGTTTAAAGCATCAGCAAACTTTATTCAACATCTCAGTTAGATTGGCCGAAATTACCAATTGACTATTTAATTGATTAATGCCTTTGATTATTAACATTTTTTTCAATATCTGTTTTTGACAATGATGTAATAAATAGAGAAACAACAACATGGACAGTAGTTGTATGTCTTAATTTATATTGTATGGCATGTTCCTCCTTTAAGACTTCAGTATTAATAGTAAATCGATGATGGTTTCTTTGTTACAATGTATTATTTGAATAATAATAATTATATAATTAGAAAAAGAATAAGTGGATAAAGTTTAATAATGTTTATCTGCAATTTGTACATTTTCCCTTTGATCTTACTGCCTCATATTTTTTAAGATAATGGACAGGACTTGATACTCGAAAATATTAGGCAATGACGTCATGTATAAGTGCAGCGACGTCGCGTGCTCAAGTCCATCCGCGTCAATTTATCAATGAAATGCACGCGACGTCATTCATACAACCGCACAACTATCCCAACGTTTTGTAGGCGTAAAAGTAGTTTTACCAACTATTTCATTCTACATCATACTCTCAAACATAACGAACCTATAATTATGACAAGTTGCCGATAAAAAGAGTAATGGCATTTTATTTTTTTATATTGACTTCATTAGCTCGAATATCAGATCAACCTAGCGGGCTCGCTTGCTATTCTTGCTGGTAAAGTCAATATCAAAAACAAAAATTATATTATTCTCTATATAACAATAAAAAAAATAAGACAATTAAAGGTCAACATCATACAGATATAAGAAGATGTGGTATGAGTGCCAATGAGACAACTCTCCATCCAAGTCACAATTTGTAAAAGTATACCATTTGAGGTCAAAGCACACCCTTCAACACGGAACCTTGGCTCACACCGAACAGCAATCTATAAAGGGTTTCCAAAAATGACTAGTGAAAAACCACTCAAACAGGAAAACCAAAGGTCTAATCTGTATAAAAAACGAGAAACGAGAAACGCTTATGAACCACATCAACAAACGACAACCACTGAACATCAGGTTCCTGACTTAGGACAGGTGCAAACAAATGCAGCGGGTTTTAACGTTTAAATAGGTGCCAACCTTCAACCTAACCTGAAACAATAGTGTAACATCACAACATAGAAAGACACGTCATGACTGCTTTCAACCGTGAATATACAAATGTCTATATAATAGGTTTAGCACAAACTCGTCCGAGTCTAGGGAAATATAATGAGGTAAAAATGCATAAAAGTTAAAGATAATATTAATTGATAAATTATAAAAAAAAGTTTGTTGAATGATGCAAAAGTTGATAAAAGTGGAGAGAATATGTGTCAATAAATTGTTAAACAAGTATGTCAAGATAGTATATGATTAAACTAAAACAATTGAATAAATAAGATATGTTTTTAGACGTTTTCCTAAAAACTCAAAGTAAGTGTTTATCTTTCTAACGCGTGTTTAATAAAGTTGTCTCAAAAATGTCCAGCAGCTAAATGAAAAATGTGGCAGCTTAGAAGGCATCAAGCTAAGCATAAATACTTTTGGAAACCAATAGATTTGAACAATCTAGATTGTTTTTTTTTGCGTCGCAGTCAAACAATTCTGATGAGAACATGTATATTCCTACTGACGATACTCCTCCCGTCACGTGTCTTGACAATATAATTCTTCAGGAGCATGAGGTGAAAGACATTCTACAAATAACCAATGTTAATAAAGCATCTGGTTCTGTATTAGCTCAAGTTTAAAAGTTATCTCAGATATTTTAGCAAAACCTTTGTGCTATATTTACATTCAAAGGTAGACTAAAATGTATTATCCACTAGCTTAGAAGTATGTTATTCCTGTTTAAAGAAGGACGAAAAAAAATCTTTTGGCAATTATAGACCCATCCAATTGTTGAGTGTTATAAGTAAAACATTTGAAAGATGTATATGTAAACATATTATGAACTTTATATAAAAACTCTTGTCGGATCACGGTACCCATGAGGATCTAGAACTTTCGGTAATTTCAAATAATCTGGGAGTAGTTTTCCAGAAACTAATTTCCTTTTGATATTTACAAATAAATCATAATATAGATTAAACTAATGCAAATATTGAAATATTTTAGTATTAAGCTAAAGGTTTTAAATAAGTTCCTTAATATAATAAGTATTTAACTTATTCGCATATATAACTTTTAAAATACAATTTTTATGTTGTTACCTAATTTCATGTTTAAATAAACGAATTACGAGTAGATAACAAACGACACGACTGTTCATTTTAGACGTGTATACTGTTGTCGGGTTTTGTATTATTGTTCGATTAATAACGCGGAATATTTAGGTATAACTATGTTGGAAAAACAGTGTAATTTCAATTACAATATTTCTTACAATTAACATAAAATTTTAAAACTTTTATTATAGTTTAAACGAAATGTGTGCTAAATTAATCAGGTTACCGCTTGGTACAGACACAAATACCAAAAAACCCTAGTTTTTTCTACCTCTCAGTACAACATATATCTGTAGAAAGAGAGATATGCATATGTATATTAAAGGGACATAATCAGGTGTTTTACCAGAGGTAGATCTAACTGGAAATGCATGAAATTTTCTGTGAGAAAATTGATTGTCATTTAATTTTTTTTAATGATATAAATCGGTTAAATGTATATCTGTTTATGTTATTTTGTTGTTTTATCTAGTTGCAACAGTATCATTGAAAAATTGAAGACAGGTGGTCTATCTTATTATAGAATAAATGTAGAGATACGTCAGACAAAAAGGGGAAGGAAATATTCAAGTAGGTTTTGAAATAAAGGTTTTCTTGGATTACATTGTATGCAATGTAGTCTTTACTGCTTGTATAACAGTATGTAAAATATAATTAAGTTATATCACTGGTACCCCTTCTGTTATCCTTTTTTGCAGGCCCTGTTTCATTTATCAAAACTTGGTGTATCGATATACATATGCATAAAAATCCTATTTCATAATAAACCATTTTACAAAATCATGCAGGTTATTTGTCTCATAATGGTCTTTTGTTTATCTAAACATGTAGTACTGTACCACTCAACATGGGAAATGCAAGTATGCAGGATAGGCACATAAATTTGTTATTTCAAAAAGCCACCTATGGACCTCTCAGCAAATAAATGTTGTTTTCGAGGGTTCTTTAACTTGCCGAAAGCATTAACTTACCCTACAGGAGGCAAAATATTCAATATCGCCATTCCAAATAGACTTGGCTGTGTATTTATGTATCCCACACAGTAAATAAACAAGCAAGAATGTTACTGCTGGAAGGGAAAAGTACAGGGATGCATATGTTTATTTATCACAGTCAACCTATGATTTTAAAAAGGATGGCCTAGTACAGTTCAATATAGCTGAAGTAGTTAAAAACAGTTTGATGTTGTTGAATTTTCTCAGTAAATGCAAGTGATTGTTGGTGAAAAATATTGAATAAACGATATAAACGACAGGGTCACAAATAGATGAGGTATTATCTAAAACATTCGAAAAATAGTCTTGTATCAAAGTAGATAAGTCAACACAAGCTAAAGTAATTGGCAACTGAATCACATACTTTTATGTACTGTAGCTTAGATATTAACTCTTTTTTTTTTAGATTACAGGCATCCCAAGTAACAATCATGTAGCCATCAACTCATCAAATGCTGTTTCTGTTGTTCTTATAGATCCAGTCATGTTTGGGAAACTGATTAAAGTATTTTTACAGCTTTTGTGGTCATTTTTAGTTGTTACTGGTATATTCCAGTCATACAATGTCGATCAGAATAATGGACCTCTGGGGAAAATTACAATCGATAAAAGATCAGGATATTTGTATGTTGGCGGAAACAATATTCTTCTTCAGCTTTACAGCAATTTAACTGTGATTAGTGAGATAGCAGTTGGGCCAATTTTGGACAATTCAATGTGTTACCCACTGCCTGCTTCATGTAGCTATCAAAGGGAGTTAACTGATAATAAAATACATATTCTGGCTATCAATGAACGAAGGGAATACATTTTAGCATGTGGTACTGCGAACCATGGCTTGTGTTCGGCATACTCATTAAGTGACATTGGGGCAATGAACAGAACACTGAACCCAAATAAAGCAACAAATAATATTGCCGGAAGTGTTAGTGGTAGTTCTTACTCAAATTCTTATGCCTTTTTTGGGTCAGATTATGGTCAGTTACCATATTCAGACAATCGTGTACTCTATGTTGCCATGGGGACAGCCAATCAGTCCTTACAGTATACACCAGCAATGATTTCAAGTCGAGAGGTAAAATATTCCTCGAACCCATGGAATATGGATTATTTTCTAAATTCTACTACATCATATATGAATGTTAATCCATCATTACAGTATAAGTTTCAATCCTTCTATATCTATGGATTTGAAAATAGTGGCTCTACATATTTTATCTCAGTTCAGATGAATGATCCAACAGCCTTTGAAGTTGAGAACAATAAATTTGTAACAAAAATAATAAAAATTTGCCAAGGTGACACAGACTATTCTTCCTACACAGAACTCCCAATCGAATGTACCCATGGAGACAAAATTTATCACATAGCAACGAGTGCAACATTTTCAGATTATGGATATTTGCCATTTGAAAAGTATTTATACGTTACTTTTGGAAAACAAGATGAACTTAATCCTTCTTCAGATAGGATTTTAGGGTCAGTTTTGTGTACTTTTGACTCTAACAGAATTACCGTGATGTTTGAACAGTTACAAAAAGACTGTTTTGCCTGTGGTCTTGGGAATGAGGTTGCTTGGTTTGTTGGAAAAAATCTGACTGAGGCAAGAGAATGTGTAAGAGATGTAAGTATGGAGAGCAAAAACCAATCAACAACTATTTTAATTACTTACATTTATGTAGAGGCAGAACTCAGGGATCTCACTAATTATTTTTGAAGACAGGTCCAGGGATCATCATGTACAACCATGACAAATTCAACAGTACAAAGAAGAAATATCATTGCTAATTAATATATTATTTCATTCTCCATGACAAAATAGAGAAGGGAAATGACATTTAATTTAGATTATTTTTTAAACTAAGGCTTTAAAATGATGATATGTGTACATGGCTCCTTATATCCGTATATGATACAACATTTTACAATCTTGATGCATCTTTGGACCCACTAGTTTTGAAAATGATGAGTCTACAACTCATGGACTCGTCGCAGTGAAAACCCTGGACCATAGAACATATATGTATTAAGCATGACCAACAATTAGAAATAATGAAAAGATAAACAATAGGCTACAATCACTACACCGTAAACAACAGTTACCCCACCAAAAAATTAGAAGGGATTGAACTCGGGTGCCATTTATGGGAGGGTAGGCAGATCCTGTTCCATTAGCGACACTGTTGTGTACCTCACAGCAAGTAGCTATCGTTATACCGTCACTTACATGTAGGTCAGATGCCACCATTGTGGGAAAGATGATGGGATTGTGGCTACGGCAATTAGGACACATCAGTGGTCACCTGTTACACTGAGATTCCATAACGGTTAACCAAATCATGATGGTGTCTATAAAACGTTCAACGGAAAGACTACAACTTTAGTAAATTCACATATATTAAGGAACACTTGGTAATATAGGTTCCAAGAATCTGCAATCCTCTGTCAATGAAATCATAATAAAGAATGTAACATCTTATCAACTGGGAGATATAACTCAATAGTTTAACAGGATAGAAGCTTTTAACAATGTCATTAAACTTCTAATTTTTTAGTGAGAAAAAGTGATCTATATATTAGTGGAACATGAAGTTAAATGACAAAACTAGCTATCTTTCATTTTCTTGAGAAGCTCCTACACAAAATTAAGCAAAAAGATTAAAAGAAATCTAAAATATCCAGTGTTACTACAAAAAATAAGAAGGTCATTATGTTTACATAAATCAGCAAATCTAAACCAGGGGAAATTCTTAAATTTTCTTATATACAATTTTGATATAAGTTTTTTGTTGTTTTTTTTTGTTATTGACTAACTTACATAACTAAGTAACTTGTAATTATATCATTAATTCCTGAATGTTTTAGACTGAACAACATCTTAGTAACTTTTGCGGAGGAAAACAAAATTTGCATGGTATTCAGGAAAGTACTAATTTAGCAGTCAGAGGCAGACAAACCTTAAAGCATTCAGCAATTTATCATGAGGCAAATTCTATCCTGTCTACTGTAAATGTAATAAAACAGAACCGAAAGAATATAGCAGTACTTGGTACAGATAAAGGTTATCTAATGAAGGTATTTATCTCTAAGCATCCATTCTAAATGAAGAGCTTGAATTAATTATATAACAAATTGTGTTTGTGATTAATAAACACAGTGGTGAGAACAAAATGCTAAAAATATAGAAGTAAGACCAACAAATTAAAGTTAAAACAAGTATTTACATGTAGATTTTCATGACCCCCTAACTAGGATATATATGGTTGTATTTGATGAGAGGACGATTTGAATTCTAAAATGATTAATTTTTTCATTTCCTTATATTCTAAAAAAGCATTTGACGATTGTAAAATTTCAGTTGTAGTTTAACTAATAAAACAAAGCTTCTTAGCCACTACAACAAATTATTGCAACTGTCAAACCCAGAACTGATGGGGGTAAAAAATCTAAACTAAAAGTTACAAGTGGTGAAGTAGAAATCATCTCAAGTTGTTTGACCGTTATGGAATATCTGTTTCACAGATGACGACGGATATGTTCCAATTGTCGTAATTACAATCTCGTGCCGTTCCCCCAGATGTGACCTACCGAATAAGACATATCACCGGGTTTGTTTTTACATGAGCAACATAACGGGCGTCACATGTGGCGCAGGATTTGCTTACCCTTCCGGAACACCTGAGATAACCCCCAGTTTTAAAGAGGTTCGTATTGCTTAGTCTTTGGTTTTCAGTTTAGTTTTGAGTTTGAATGTACCTCTGGTGTACTTCGCCTCCTTTTTTCACATATCTATACTATAGTTCTGTTATTCAACTGTTGGTTGGAATGGAATTTGTATATTTCGACAGTCCATTCATTGTCATTGAATTAATTAAATCATCTGGAACTATGATGCTATTTAGAATCCAACTTTGTACGATTACAATATATCAACTATATTAAAAATCTTTTAGGTTTAAAGGTAGGAATAATCTTTAACTGATTTATTTTAGTTTCATTCTTCTGTCAATATTGATATTCTTTGTCCATATCAATATGCTTTGTCAATATCAATATGTTTTGGTAATATCAAAATCATTTTGTCTTCCTAAAATTATTCTCAGATATTGATCTTCAAATGGAAGAAACTGTAATTGTTTGATTATTTTATGAACTATTCAGTTTAACAATAAGGTGATTTGGTATGACTGCCAATGAGAGAACTATCCACCCAAGTTCATTTGAAGTGGGTGTAAGCAATTATAGGCAAATATACGGCCTTCAACAATGAGAAAAACAATACCGTATAGTCGGCTATGATAGCATAGACATGAAAAATGAGAAACAATTTAATTGAGAAAAAACTAAAGGCCTTATATATATGTAAAAAAATTACGAAAAACAATATGACAGATATGAACCTAAGATAACCTCTGATCTACAGGCTCCTGATTTGGGACAGGCACATACAGAATGTGGTGGCGTTAAGCATGTCTGTTATATCACAATAAAAAACCCCATAACTGTAAAATATAAGGGCATACACTACAACAACGTTCGTTATTCATTATGACCTTTGTAGGTTTTAGTGAAGAAAACAGCAGCAAGCCTTCCATCTCCATATATGACATATGATATAACAAAGGACAGAAAAGTTAAGATTGAGCCTGGATCGCAAATTGATTCGTCAGGGACCAGTGTATTTTTTTGGTCAAATACTCAGGTAATTACCGGATACATCTTTAAAATCTCAATTTAAATGAATTATCAAGAGTGCATTCAACATGTTCAAGTAAAAAGGGCAAATAAGATCACTGTAGTATACAGATAGTTTTTTTGTGGCAATTTTCAACTGCTCTTGGTCTCACAGCTTTTGAACACATGTCATTACTGAATATTACATGTTGTGTTTTAATAGGTATCGTGTTAAAAAATGGGGAACACATTTAGGTGAAATGTATTTTGTTAAGATAGTAAAAAAACAAACGAAGGAGATGAATATATCCGTATTTGTTATCCTTTAATTCTATAAGGCCTCGATCTAAGTCAGTTATATTGTCAAGGTTCAATTCCAGACTAAGCGTTGATGTTAGCAATAAGTGAGTCATAGAGACCTCTGCAGGAGATGCTTAACTAAATCTTCTAATAACAGTTGAATGCTAGTCAATTGTCTAATACATGGTATTTTGTCAAATATAAGGATTGAACATGATGACTGTAATTTCTTAATAACAAATGTTCCTTTGGAACAGGACCGGTTTCCCATCCCCCGTTTTTTTGTGTAAGTTAGTGTTTAGTTTTCTATGAAATGTTTTGTGTTCTTTTTTGTCTATGTCTTGCCTGCTTTTCTTATTTTGCCCTTGCGTTTTCCCTTTGATTAACGAGTTTAGAATCTTCTATATCTTTTCTGTTACAACGAAGATAATTTATGCAATTTCATTGGGTATTAATTATTTAGCACGATTCTTTTGTTGTATACCTTCTTCTAACACAGTTCCTTCTTTAGCTCAATGGTTTATCAGGAAAAAAATCCTAAGCATATACCAATGATAATTATGGACAAGTTGCCAAAACATGTAGGTCAAATACAGCCATTGAATGCCGAATAGTATTTCACATTGATTTTATTATAATTACAGGTGACAAAGTTTCCACTAGATGCATGTGAAGTACATACAACTTGCGAGCAGTGTGTTGGTGTTGATCCTCTTTGTTGTGGCTGGTGTGGCAACAAGTGTACCTCACAACAAAATTGTAGCTCTGGATGGTCAGGACAGAGTTGTCCTCCCATTATTACTAAAGTAAGTACATATGACCCGTTAGAAGTGTATTTGTTTTGACACCAGGAGCTGTGGTTGATGTAAGAATAAGTGTTACTTATGAAAAATCTGATTTACTCTTGTTAAAAATATGAATCCTTAAACTTTTAGCTCTGTAATGGAGTGTACCTCCTAGGTTATGATTAGTGTGGCAACTAGTGTGCCTCATATCAAAGATTTAGCAAAGATATAGCTGTCCACCCATTTAATATGAATTAATTATCAATGAAAAGATATGTAGTTGTTCAGTTAGTGAAACCTGAAGACACAACACCAAAAAAGAAATAAATGAGTATGACCAATGGATATGTCCTATTAAATTGTTATGGTAACGCTCTAATTTGTACCTTTCCTGACACTCCTGACAGTTGTCTCTTTTTCCGTAATTATGCAAAGTACAAATGCCAAAGGAGAAAGGTATGACTTGTAATATAAAGGTTAACATATTATCTTTGACTATAAATCAATCGTTACATATGCTGCATATCAATTCAATTTGAATATGCCTTTTATTTTTGTATATGTATATCAGTATATGGCTTTTCAATTTATCTATCCATTTTTTATTTCAGATTTCCCCGATTTCTGGACCTACTAATGGTGGAACGCTATTGACATTGGAAGGACAAAATTTGGGTACCGCGTTTGCGGAAGTAAGGGAAATAACTATTGGAACAGACGTCTGCCAGGTTACAACAACAATAACATCAACAAAGTTAGTTTCAGGACATTGGCAAAATTTTGTGGGAAGTATTGCCTTGTATTGTTGTAACATATAACGTTACGATGGTCCATTGGTTTTAAAGTCATGATTTAAGCAAAAATATACATGAACTTAGGATAATTCATTAAGCACTGCAATTTATATGACAACATTTTATTTTTGTTTAAATCTGTACAGTATTCTTATCAGGGACCAGCATTTAAATATTTATTTGGTTTTTTTTTTGCTTTTACACCATTCAAACCTTATTGTATATAATTTGTAAATATCAAGAATGTTTGACAATGCCATTATGAGATGACGGAACGATTTTGGGTTTATATCAACGAAACAGCATTCAAACAACATATGTAAATAAACCAAAAAGGGACATTTAGAGTTCAACATACATTCCTTGAATAGTAGACACATGTCAATACTGTATGTAAAGCGTTAGATCAACACAATTTAACGTAGACTCAAAAGATCTGTGATTAACCATGAAATTCGATTAAGGACAAAAATGATAGAAAAAAGGACAACAATGACAAGTCTCCTGACTTTGAGGAGGCATGGTAATGTGTGACTGGATTAAACTAGTTAAAGAGGGAAAAGATATAATAAAGAAAACAATATAATCGTAGCTTTTATTCAAATTGGAAATTCGTATCAGATATACTTGAACGCCTCATCGTTGAAAGCAATTCCATTGTAAAAGGTGAATTTTTTTTTTTTTTTTTTACTTTTCAACACTTTTCAGTATGTAGCAATCAAATAGGATGTAAGTTCACAGCCTTTGTTTTGTTATGTTGTCTCGTTTGTATTTCCTTTAGCAGAGTGTAAGCTTAGTCAAATATTTATCAAAATAGTTAAGATATAAGTTTTGGCGTCATGCTTTTATCAGCTAATACTAATCACTAATAATCAATATCGCTTTTGTATTTTTGAGACTCTTACAATGATTTTTTTCTTTATTCACATAAAATAGTACTTTTTGAATTCAGAATTACATGTACTACTCAAAAGATGACTGTTGAATGTGAAGGACAGGTCAAGGTTATAGTTAATGATAGCAATAACACACCCTATCAGATAAATGGAGAATACACATCGCCTGATTTGATGTTCTCTTATAAGGTAACATATCTTGCATTAAAGGTGTCATTATACATCTGTTGTTTCTTACATACTAATATCATATAAGATTTTTATCGTTTCAACATTTTGAAATGATATTTTTAAGTCACTATTGCTGGGTCAAGGTTAAAGGGTTCGTGGTCAAGCAGTAATCCGTTGCCTTTTTGCTTACATTTAATTTGGTTTTAACCTGATGCCAATGATCTGTTGACAGCCTGCTTACATTCATTTGGGTTTTAACCTTATGCCAGTGATCAGTGTGCTGCCTGCTTACATTTGATTGGATATCAACCTTATGCCAGTGATCAGTTGACTGCCTGCCTAAATTTGATTGGGTATTAATCTAATGCCAGTGATCAGTTGACTACCTGCTTACATTTTGATCGGGTATGAACCTTATTCATATAATCAGTGGACTACCTGATTACATTTGATTGGGTATTATCTTTATGCCAGTGTCCACTTTGCTGCCAGTTTATTTTTGAGTTGGGTATTACCCTTATGCCAGTGATCAGTTGACTACCTGCTTACATTTGATTGGGTATTAACCTGTATAAGTGATCAGTTGACTGCCTGCTTACATTTGATTGGATATGAACCTTATTCCAGTGATCAGTTGACTGCCTGCTTACATTTGATTGGATATGAACCTATATCAGTGATCAGTTGACTGCCTGCTTTCATTTGATTGGATATGAACCTTATTCCAGTGATCAGTTGACTGCCTGCTTGCATTTGGTTTTCTAATAACATAAAACATGCACAAACAATCTGGTGTTTCATTCTTGAAACAACAGATAAAAACAAAACAAATATAGATAAATAGACAAATAGAAAATATGTGGATTAATCTTAACTTTTGATTATGTATGACTATTTATAAATATAAGATAAATAAGATATTTACAAAATTATGTCATTTTCTTTGCTCCAACATATATAACATGTATAATGAATAAACAACATTATAATATGAATAAATCAAATTTGGAATTTTCTGATAACTTTAAGCTGTACCTAAATGTTATCATGTGGATTCAGTAATGTGTTTTCTTATATGATAGGAAAAAGAGATAAAAAATATCAATACATCCAGCAATAAATAATATTTAGCAGAGGCTTTGTATATTCATATCTATAGCATATGACCTGGTTGATACCAATTACCAAAAGGAGTAGGCTTTATAAGGCTCGTATAGAGCCCCTATATTTCTGGCTTGAATTTAAATAATGATTTATTTACCATCATCATAATGTATCATTGCTATAACAATGTTTAAATAGGAAATAGGTCTTTTTGTCGGAAATTTACGAATAGGCGTTCTTTGCATGGTGCCACAAAAAAGTGCAAATTTTGATTTACCTCTATTTGCAATTAAACATATCCTATTTCCATTGGTGTTTTGTTTGCGAACAAAAACCTACAGCACATATGTCAATTAAAAAGATCTTTTGACATTATATTCATTATAAAAAAAATTACATATATGACTTGAATTATTTGTTTGTCCATTATATTTCTAAGGCTTGAATTTGTTTCAAATCCGGACAAGTTTGTCAAATTTCCTAAAATCTTGATTTTTCGGTGTTTTTTGTTGTTAATGTCAATGCCTTATAAAAATTGCCACCCAAAAATAGTTCTACATCCCTTTCTTACATGTATATTTACCAACTTAAAACACTTTTTTTTCTTGAAACGATGGACTAACTATTTGGGACCAAAAAAAACCGCCCTTATTTAACTTACTTCTTTGGATATAAAATATATGATATATGATTTCGAGATAAATTTTGCAGTCGCCAGAAGTCTACGATTTCACCCCAAAATATGGGCCTTTATCTGGAGGGACCAAGTTAGTGGTATCTGGAAAGAATCTGAATGTCGGAGCCCAGCATTCTGTTCAGGTGGCGGGACAAAAATGTGTCATTGAACCTAGGTCTGTACAGCATAGTGACTGAACACTTATTGCACCATAAAAGATATTTATTAATCTATTATGCCTGTTTTGTCTGTAAGGAATGGCCAGGAGAAAAATACCACATGTTAATAAACAAAAAGATGTATGATTACGAATAAAGCAAATAACCTACAAAGACCAAAAACAAGGATATGAACAACTACATTTCACTGTATGGCTTTCAACAATGAGCAAAACTAATACCCTATTACAAGCTTTAAAAATTATATAAATTCATCTGATATATTTCGTAGATAATTACTCATATCAAGGCTGTTGATTTGAATTAATGAATGAAACTAAATTCAGGTGTATGAAGATGATTCAATTCTTTGTGTTGTAGTGAACCATTGCGGGTCTAAAGTACATTCAAATTAACATCAACAGAAAATGTAATAGATCGAACGTCGTAGAACATGTTGCCTATTTACCTCTGTAAATATTCATATGTTATTGACCACTTAAAATTCTGAAATTTGTGCTCGCATTTAGTAAAGTGATTGTTCAACAATGGAGTAAAATGCTATTCTAAGGTCCATAATTAAGATTACAGAAATGTTGCTTGAATTTACTGTTATCTAACTTAAACTGCACGATTTTTTTGTGGAAACCAATCACTTCTCTTTTTTCAATTATTAAAACATCACAAACATTTCTGAATTTACAGTACATTAAGATTAAAAAAAATGTTGACATCATATTATATATCAACACAAATATTATCCCTTGATCCTGAACCTTATGACCTCTGTATATTCCTGAATGTCATATTTGTATCTCAATATGAATAGAGGAGATGTGTTTACCATATGTCAATTTTAATAAGAGCAACTTAACTATCCAGAAAAAAATACATCTAGAGTTCAACTATTTTATTCATCAATAGACAAGTGTTTATGCAATGTGTCAAGTTCTAAATCTAAAAGACTAACAATATTCTATTGGTTACAGAAGAAAAGCAATGTTATAGATTAATGAATATATTGAAGTTTGCAGATCAGATCATTTTCAATTAACTGAAAGAACTTTTTTTACTAAAGTCTTTGCAACACCTCTTATATTTCTATTTTGAACTTACAGTGGAAGAATACAGGGTACCAGTTTGACATGTCTGACTCCTAAGCTACTGTACAACAAACGTAGGAGGAAGCAAGAGACCAATAGTCCAAGTCCAGTGTATGATGTGTCAATAAGATTGGACATATATGGATTTACTTACCAATTTAATAAAAGTTACCAATTCTTTGAAGACTCTACTGTCACATCGATTGACCCACATAAATCTATACAGGCGTACGGCATATCTAGTTTATTTCCAGTGATTTCATGTCTTAAGGCCTAATAAAAATATATTTGTGATTTCCAGTTACCCAATAGATCCTAGTTTAAACCCCCCGACCCTAGAACTTTTTTTTCCATTTCTAAAATATAAGTTTCGAACGATCCCATGTTGTGGAATGATATTTTCAATAATTATATTCACAGACTTTTGTCATCTGGATTCCTATTAGAAGTATCCACTACGGCAAAAAATGCAACAAATATTTAACAGAATGCAACAAAAGTAATTAAAAACGAAACATGCAAGAAGATGTTGTATAATTGCCACTGAGACAACTGTTCACAAGAGACTAAATTGCACAGAAATTAACAACTATAGGTAACCGTACGACCGCTACACAATGAACAAAGCCAATACCGCATAGTCAGTTATAAAATCCCCCGAAATGACAAATGTTGGTTTATTTTTAAACCAAACATATATACAATGGCGAACTTTTAATAGGGGCGTGTATAATACTGGATTCGGACTAGGTGAACCCACACATTTGTTTCCGGATTTAAACAATACCAAAATTTGTTTTAAATTAAAAAAAAGGCCGATCTACAGAGCCTATTTTTTCAGGATGTACCTTGAACCGCACATATATTTGTATTTGGCCTAAATCTATACAAATAATTTCATTGAATGTTTATTTTTTTGATAACTACTAGGCGTTGGTTGTGATCATCCCTTGATTACTTACCGATCATGACTAGTCTTCAACAACAGACACGTTTCTATGCAATGTGTTAGGCAATAAATCACATAGGCAAAAAAAAAAAAAAAAAAAAAAAAAAAAAACCTCTTTAAAGTTAAACAAAAAACCTCATTTTATTAAGGTAAATTCTTCTTTAAAAGTTACATAAAATTGGAAGGAATTTAGTTATAGAATAACTAATCGAAGTTCAAATATAGAAAAATACAACGAAATATATATTTTTAACACAGTCACAATTTTCTTTAATGCAATGTCATCGGCAACATCTTGACAATATGTTGTTGATGACATTGCTACTGTTGTATGACGTCAAAAGAGTAAATTCATCGAGTTTATTTCACGTGGAATTATCGGTTTTTATTTCAATGGGAAATTAAGGTGATCCATTGCAACCAATGCTATAAACGCAAATAACTTGATTGTATATGTTCTGAACCATATGCGTATTTGGACCATGCTCGTCTGTTCATGATCATATGAGTAGTTACTTGTTTGGTTATTAACGGGCCAGACTATATGATTATTTAGACCATATAGGTATTTTTTCGAATACATCATAACTTTCTTCAGAGGAGCACACAGTACAATTATTTTAAGAAATATTTGCTGACCTTCTAATCTTAATCACTAAAAATGATTTAAAATATATAAGAAATATGAACACCAAAATAATAATTAAAAAAAAGAAGGTTAAATACCTCAAGTGCTAATGTGTAAAATAGTTCCCTTATGGTTTTACGGTTCTAGATTTAGATATGTTCTGACGTTATATATTTCAGAGTCGACATATAATGTTTTTTTTTCTAGTGGAGGAACAACTGTTACAGTTACTGGAACTCATCTTCAAATTATATCAGAACCAAGGATCATAGCTATACTAGAAGGTTAAATACCTCAAGTGCTTATGAGTAAAATATTTCTCTAATGGTTTTACGGTTCTAGATTTAGATATGTTCTGAAGTTATATATTTCAGAGTCGACTTATAATGTTTTTTTTCTAGTGGAGGAACAACTGTTACAGTAACTGGAACTCATCTTCAAATTATATCAGAACCAAAGATCATAGCTATACTAGTAATTAATGGTACTAACAAACAATCTGTTCCAGTGGTAAATATATTATACAATTAGAAGCTAAAAATGTTTTATTGTCATTAAAAGCTAATTTCTAAACAGTTTTCCATATGCAAAATTCGTTTGATAAAAAAAGGAAGTATGGCAGACAGGGGACAGAGTGTTGGTCAGTTATCAACAGTTTCAAGCTTGAATATCGAGACAAGAGAGGGCTAGTCGACTTATAAGACACTTTGTCCCAATCAATCAAATAATTAAGGCACTGTTGGTTAGTGTAAATGACCTGAAACATACCCTTACTTCATAAATTATATATATACAATTTTACAATTTAAAGCATTTTTGATAAATTTTATATTAGAATTAGACTGTTAACCAATTAAATAATTATGCCTAAAAACAAAATTTCTTAATGCATTAACAGCCCAATAATGTAAAATTTGTTAACAATCCTTTAAGTTGTTTGATCATCTAGGAACAGTTTATGTAGCTATGAATGGAACACGCGTGGATATATCTAGTATATTTTCAAATATCATTAATCACCATATATGTATAAGCCAATCATCAACACAGGTGATACATTGCAAAATTTTATCTTTATTTGTACTATTATGCCATCGTCAGTTAGTTGAAGTGTTTACACAATCAGGTAACAGTCTAACTGGAAACACTGTAAGACATGTATTTTGAAAAAGTAAAATTTTGAATCTGCATAAAGGTGCATTTTTTGCATTGGAGGGCAGAACGGGATTGGAGGTATTAAGGTCGTGTTTCCCTTCAATTTTGTGCAGGATGTAACACTGAAAAACTTATCAACCATTCAACCAATGCGTTTGAAATTTTAGTATGTTATTACTTAGGAAAAACTGGAGGTCAAGTTTGATAATTATGATTAGCATTTTAACCTTTCAGGAGTTATGATTCTTGATATATCAGAAAATTGCACTTTATGTCATTATCTTGCATAAGCTTTTGAACTGTTTAACTAATACTTTTAAAATTTATTATTTGGTAGTGATGACTAAATGGAGGTCAAGTAAGATAATGATGACTTTCACTTTTGCAATTCAAGAGTTACAGTCCTTGATAGATGGCAATTTCTGTGCAATAACATTTGAACCATTAAAAAATCGGTTTAAAACGTTTAATATGTTGTTACTGATGATGAAATAGAGGTCATATTTCATATTGACGATTTACAATTTTACCGTCAGGAGTTATGCTCCTTGATAGATTGGAAAGTTACACTTAATGTCGTTTCCATGTAATAACCCTTGAATTTTTCAGCGAATGCTTTTCAAATATTGATATGTGGTTACTAATGACAAAATAGAGGTCAAGTTGAATATTGATTATTTTCACTTTTAATGTTCAGGACATATGATCCTTGATTTATTGGAAATAGATACAGAAAGTGGCAGATCAATTCAGCTTGAAATGCCATACATTAGAAAACATTCAATGTTGGTTACCTTCAAAATACAGAAACCTGGTTTGCTGTCAATGTGACAGCTCATTTCTTGTTCAGACATGTCCACTAATATTCATCACAGTTAAATGCAAAAGTGACCATTACAGACTTTTGAAAGCAATTGAAATATTTTGCAGGCTTGTTACAATGCTTCTCGAGATGGGACAACTTTGTTATGTCCTGCACCAAGTATTACAGATGTCCTGGAGAACAATTTGCCTTGTTGTGGCTACAAATCAGTCTTTTTAAGTTTCATAATGGATGGGATTCAGTCAGTCAAACAACTTCCTCAGTCCATGTCATACATGCATTATTTCCTTAATCCTGTGATTCTTCCGTTTACTGAAGATGAACATATCAGATATTTCTTGATTACAGATGAGATGCTAAAAATTAAGGTATATTAGATACAGATAAATCATTGAATTAGATATTAGAATAAGTTTAATTCTAAATGCAAATAATCATATTTTAACAGTTAACAGGTATATTAAAACTAAGTAAATCAATCGAAATAGTTTTTATTATGATATGCAAAAGATTATCCTTTTGTTGCATAAACTTTGTTATGTACGAAATAAATGCCAGTGTTAAATTACAGGGTGAATACTTGAATTATGGTGTGACAACAAAAGATATGACTGTAACCATTGGTAACAGTGTATGTGAAGTGACTGTTATGAAGACAACTGTATTGTACTGTACACCCAAAGATAAACCATCATCAATTGGTGATAATGAACCAAAGAGAACAGTAGAGGTAGGAAGTATGAGGTCAATGGTAGATGACCCAGTGTCAATTCATGTAAAGGATTGTGGGATGTGGTTGATTGTACTGTGTACTCATAGATATACCATTGTTTGTTTGTTGTTAGGAAAGAGTTGAGGTAGGAAGTCTGAAGACTGTAGTACTGGTTACATACAGAGATTTACCTATAGTGGTTCATAGTACTGTATGCCAATTTTAACAAATCTTGGTTTGAAATAATGAATGTGAGTAACATTATGGGTCTGTATTATGAGTCTGAAATCAGTTTGCGTAGAGGTATTAAGACTGAGGTTTCAGTGCTAAATGTATGTTAATCTCTTGAAAGGGGAATTCCATTATTGGAAGTTATTACGATGTGTCACACTAACCATGCAAAAACTTAGAGGTAAATATCAAATTATTTTCTTCAAGGTTAAGAAATGGTAAAAGGTTTTCATATGTATTTGACGCAAGGCAAAAAAAAAAGAATTATCTTTCTGTCACAACAAAAATAGTAGGTAGTACGGTATTTCTTTCTTTTTTTTGGCAACATTATTTTGAGTCGTGTGGGTCCGTCTTACCGTGATCGGAGCTGTCCATTGGCCGAGTTTACACATATTTGTATTGATTGGATTATTTTCCTTGGTTATTGGTTGGGGAAAAATTGTGGTAAAATGTTTATTCCATCATACGAGTCGCGAGTTTTATTAAAACAGAAGTCATATTCAAGGTTGTGAACATTGGGACATATCTGACAATTGATTAGATTTATTGGCAACTCTTACTTCGCTTTTGACACGAGTTTAGCTAATTTTTTACTTTATGACGGAAAGAAAATGATCGCCGCTAAAATTAGGGTCGGTCGGGTAACCGTAATCATACGTATATTTTTTTTAGTTCACTGAGAAAAATTTGATTACCTTCAAAAGTATCTAAATATTCAATCTGAATGTTTGTTGTTTTAATTTGAAAATGACAAATATCCATTCTGTTGATGGCCAGAATTTGGCTTTTTAATGGAACTATTTCAATAGCCTTGCTTCTTTCTTAAGATAAATTTCTTCATAAGAGTACATTGGTTTAAAAATCAGCACAGTTTGGATATTTTGTCAAACTACGTTGATTTTGTGCATTTTTCGGACCTAAAAACTTGAGGAGACCGTTGGCTGCAACCTTGGATCCAAAATGTTCTGTTACCAAGAGTTGTCAATGATGGTTTGAATCTCTAGACACAAGAATGTTCTGGGTCTTTAGTGGCGGCCAAAGTAAATTATGCTAAAATTTGACCAAAACTGACAAAATCAAGCGATATCCAATTCTCACAAGTTGTTAAACCTATTTCTCTTATGGTCAACACTCTCATTGTGTTAAACTAAAAATTCCGCGAATCGTTCATAAAGTCTTTTGCACATGCCAGTATGACGTCACATGTCCCTTTCCGGTGTCAAACTTTAACATCAGACGTTTTAAGACTTTTTATACGCTTCAGAATATACTAAAATTTGACAAAAAGCAGATTTTTGGGTGAATAGTGTGAGTGTTTTGTATATTATCGAAGAAATCAAAGATGTCCGTTGCCAAAGACGAAATGTACATCGTCTTAACCTTTGAAAGTCATCAATGACCTAACGAATAGCCAATGGAAATGCCGTAATATCGTCTAATTATGCTGGATAAGCCAAGCAAATTAACGCAGATTTTCGTATCACTTTTTCGTATCACACTCGGTACAGTGTGATACGAAAAATATCTATTCCTGCAAGAAATAGATAAAAGGCCACATCCATAATAGAATATTTGTTATATCATTGTGAGGTCATAGTGAAAATAAGTTTTGTGTTTTTGAAGCACTTTTCTAGATATAACTTTTTGAATAACGCCCAAAGGCAAATATTTGAAAGCAGAGGATGTATGAATCTCTAAATGCTTAGGGAGCTATTTGACTAAAACAAACATAAAAAGAATAGCAAATTTCACCACTAAAAGTAAACTTTGCCTGAGAAGGTGTTACAACATGAACGGAATATGAGAATATAAGTTTTGGTAAAATTAATTTTGTGCACCAGTTTTACCCAAAAATATATTTACCTCACATCAACATAGTATCCATATGTGTTACAGGGTAAGACTCTTGTTTATATATTAGTGTTACACGTAATAATGATATCTCAAAATATGGCTTTTTGACAGTTTTGACAGTTTTTTCTCTAAATTTGAAGGTCTAAAGAAAATATGAATCGCTAAATTAAAACAAAATGCTGATATATGACAGACATATGTCTTATCATCACTATAGCGAATGTTTATTTGACTAATTTGATGTACATAAATATGTTTGCCACTTATTTAACTTGTTTGTTTTAACAGCTGATGTTGAACAGAGAATGTCAGAGGAACTCCCTAATGGAGCCGAGAGTAGATCTCCCATTTTGTTGGATGGTGACATACTATTGGTATTAAAGGATAAAAATCTTCTCATAGAGAGAGAATGGTTGACACTTGGTGAAATTGTCGGGAAAGGTATTTTTTTCATGTATCAGTTTAATAAGGCTTTCATTTTGAGTTAAATACAGATAAACTCTGTTAAACTTACCTTTATTACTTATAATTACAATAAAATGCTCTTTAAATTATGTCATTCACTCTTACAGAAATTTCTTTCCCAGTGTAGGAGTTATGTAGTTGTGACATCATGAAATAGGTATAAGCTTAATAAGACTAGACATACAACATTGGAATTATATGTCACAATGACACAGCAACACAGGATGATAGAGAGACACAAAAACAGACACACAAAGTGTTGTAGTAACACACCACATATGTATTCACTTATACACGCATTGTACCTTCAGTTATTTTTTAGTGATATATATATATAAATATATTGTTAAAACATCTTATCATTACAAAGACAAAAAAACGTTAAAATGATTAAAGCTTTTACTTAGAAAAATAATTGCATGTACAAATTGTAGAAAATCTCAAAACAAGAAATTAAGAAATAATGGTATTATTCTCAAACGCCTTTTTAGCGTGAAACATTAATATTAGTGTACTGTAAATTAAGAAATTATTGCATGTATTTATTACTGCGAATTTTTATGAATGAACATACATGCAAGTCTAATCTTTGAGGTACTAGATAAAGTTAAATAGAGATATATGCACTTGGTATCAGAATGCAAGTTCTTGTTATTGCGATACTAAAGTAATCGCAAAAATAAAGACTTTACAATAAATTCTGAATTTACATTCGTATGAAATAAATTTTTTTATTTTGTATTATTTTCGTTTTTAGGAAATTTTGGTTGTGTATATAGAGGCTATTTAGAAGTCCCTAATGTCAAAAGATCACAGCTTGTAGCAGTGAAAACACTTCATCGTAAGATTTTCTCTCAACCAAATCAATTTAAACTTGATATTGATATTGTTTCTGTATCTTTGCCTTAATTTCCATTGGGGAGCTCATAGACTATTTTCTACCTTTGCTGCAAAAAAAAATAATAGAAAATTAAGTCCTCTTCAGATGTTTCTTTTCTATTTGTTAGAAGTAATCTTTCTTGATATGAAAAATATAATATTACGAAGATTTTGTTATGAATCATACACTTGTTCATTTTACCTGACTAGTATGTCACTTTTTCATTTTCAATCTATTACAGAAGATGACCCAAGACAGTTAGATGTCGATAACTTTATTGAGGAGGCTTTAAGAATGAAAGATTTCCACAATCCCAATGTTTTGACATTGACAGGGATATGTTTTGGCATGGATGACATGCCCCTGGTTATTTTACCATTTATGGCACATGGAGATTTGTTATCATACATCAGAAAGGAAGAAAATGTGAGTATAAAACTTAAAGAAATTGACCATAACTGACAACATAATCATTAATGAATAACTGGACATATCATAATGGACCACATGAACGCTTACTGGTCACATTATACCTAAATACTGTGAACAGTTGTAATGTCAAAACAAACTAAATTCTTTCGCACCATTTTATTATAAAATTCAATTGTTTGTTACTAATGAAATGTATCCATGTTTTTAAAATGATCTGTTAAAATCTTCAATTTGCAATACTGCAATTTCAAAGTTTTCCCGCCTACAGCTCACATTTGAGTAATTTTGCCGCCCTATTTATCATTAGTGACCTTTGGATTCTTCTTGGAATAGAAATGAAACAGAAAATTAACCATTGATTATATGAATGTCTCGTCTTTTATAGAATCCAACTATTAAAGATCTGATCCTGCTTGGAATAGATATAGCTCGAGGTATGGAGTACCTATCTTGGTGTAAGTTTGTACACAGAGATCTGGCTACTAGAAATTGTATGTAAGTATACAAATGCTGATTATGTGGTTTGGGTTTTGCTCATTGTTGGAAGCTCTACGGTGATTTGTAGATGCTTGCTTTTGCATCATTTAGTCTGGTGGATAGTAGTCTCATTGGCAATCATACCACATCTTCGTATTTTTAAATGTATTGTTTTGAAAATAAGAAGATGTGGTATGATTACCAATGCGATGTTTAGATTTATTGATTATGTTAACTTAATGTCCAATGGAAAATATTTCATGATAACTTAGATGGAAAAAAATACACAATTACCAGAAGGTAGGTTTAGAATTGTAGGTTGATCTGCATGAAGGGTAGACGATTTGGACTGCCAGTACAAAAAGAGAATACATTGGGTTGGGCCAGAAAGTTTGGTTTACAAATCTCCAAAGAAGATAATTTATAGGTTTTCTTGCAGAGAGTGTGGCACTCTCCAAACATATGGAACAGATTGAATGTTTTCTTTCTAATTAGATAAGGGGTGATCGGTGATCTGGAATCTGCTAAACAGGCTTTTGGATCATGTGTCTAAAATTATCTATAACTTGTGTAATATATATGTCTTCCTCTTATGAATTTACATAATGACAAATAACATTATAATTGGTCGATTAATAAGTTTATGTTTACCAGAGTAAAATTTAGACTGCCTCTGGAAAAGAGATACAGTTTTTATAGTCTAATAAGTTATGAAACAGACACTATTTTACTGTGATAAATTTGTTCTTGTAATTTTTTTAAATGAACTAAAAATTTGAAATTGCAGGCTGGATGAAAATTTCCGTGCTGTGGTAGGAGATTTTGGTTTGTCTCGTGATATCTATGCCAAGGATTATTATGCAAGTGATAACAAGAAAACTAAATTGCCAGTAAAATGGATGGCCCCAGAATGTTTGGAGAAAGGACATTATAGTTCTCAGTCGGATGTGGTGAGTTTTTCTGAAAAACAAAAATCCCATCTGTTAGAAAAGTACTTTTAACAGTAATTATTCATCAGTATTATAGGCTGTTTTGAGTTCTAAACGTCTTCAAAAATAACCTTTTGAAACTTTTAGTGTATTGTATGTTAGATAATATCAGTATTATAGGCTGTTTTGAGTTCTAAACGTCTTCAAAATAACCTTTTGAAAATTTTAGTGTATTGTATGTTAGATAATACATATTCTATCATTTTTCTGAGTGATATTTGCAAGACTGTTTGGTCATTCATTTGAAAGTCTCCAAATGAGTCACAATAGTAAATATTATATTTAACAATCCATCCCAACATCATGAAAATACAAATAAAGGACACTTGGTCCGAATGAACTTCAAAGATACCTTTATCATATTGTAAAGAACTGTGAACGTAACACATGACCAGGTTTTTAACGGTAAAATCATTCTTTTTATCACCTGTTATATATTTTGTTAATGCATTTTTGCTGTTGATAACAGTTAATAAGACCTATAATATTTCACTGGTCATTTGGTGTTGTATTGTGGGAGCTAATGACAAGGAGATATCATCCATACCCAGACGTAGATAACTGGGATGTTCTACGATACATAAAGAAGGGTAGACGAATGCCACAGCCACCATTTTGTCCTGATATCTTGTAAGTACTACCTCTTATGTTGTTGAATGTTGTTTAATCAATCATGACACGTTATGATTAACCATAAGCCCTACCTACAGCCCAGTCCAGTAAAAATGTCGTTGTCGTGTGGCATTAAACATTTCCTAAAAGTGGCTTCACACGACATATTGTTTTAAAGAAATTTTATATTAAATAAAAAGGATCCGGAAAATGAAATTCAATACTCAAAGAGAAACCATCATCACCATGGAAAAAAATGAAAAAATATGAAAAGACAAAAAATGGTCTACAGAATATTGCATTAAAAACTAAAGACTGAACACAAACCTTACCAAAAAACGTGGATGAACACTGATTTTTGGTTTGAAAGTCAAATGTTCTCCACAAAGACTGCAATATTTCAACTGAAAAAGGATTGTAAAATGGTCAACTATTTGATTTTAAAAAGAAAAAAACCCAACATATCAATTTTTAAAATGTATATACATGAAAGCAGTAAAATATTAGAATTTAGTATATGTGATATAGATTAAACATACATCACTGAAGAGACATTGATTGTCCAAATGCACATCTGGTGCAATAAAATTATTTCAGTTTATGTTATATTACCTTTTGTTACATTCTTTGTATTAAAGAGTTTGGAAACTCTGTATTTTTATCTAAACGTAGGACTACTTCTGGCATAAACTACAGTTTGAATAGTTGCTGATAGTTCTTTAATTTCATTGGGGAGGAAAACAAGCAACAAATTACTTCAAATATAGTGCATGCACAGTTCTTTCCTGAGTTCAACCTACCTCTGAATAGTTTTCTCTGTTTGTAACCCTTACATGTATGGAAGGTAACAACTAATGCACTTAATAACTTTAGAAGTTTTAGTAAAACTCACGTAAAGCTATTCTTACTAATGACAATATGAATAGACTATATATTAAATGAGATAACTTTTTATATGATATATACATGTTCTATTTAGAAGAAGTCAAGGGAAGAAAAGGATACACAAAACGCAAAACAAAAAGTCTGTGGCTATGCAATGATAATTATAAGCCAAATAGTCAAAGGGCTATTGGTACTTTTTCGCTGCTTTCATATTAGTTTTTACAAATATACAGCAATACCATTGACGATGATGATGGGAGTTATTAACGACCTTGACTGGCCATAAAGCTCTCACACGGTCGGTGGAATCTTCTGATACCATTTACTCTTTTGCAGCATCACTTAAATAGGTTTTAATAAAATTATAGTATTGCCTATGAACTTCAAATTATTTTATTTACTTATACGGTAATCATCCACTAATTTTTTTGCAGATACAAAATGATGTCAAAGTGTTGGTCATTTAACCCAAATGATCGTCCCAAATTTTCAGAGCTTGGCCATGAAATGATAAATGTTTTGGAACAACAGATGAAGCAGGGCCAGCATACAGCAGACATTCAAAGTACATATGTAAACGCTGAAACTTGTACAGACTATCATTACCATGACAACAGACATCCAGCTGAAGAAACAGAAGCTATGACATGAAGTGACGAATTTCTTTTAGTTTGATTTAATATTTTTTAATTATGTCTACAGCAAAATATTTCCTTCCCTACACAGTACATGTTGATCTCAAAATTACATTTTGAAATTTGATATCTTATAGTTTTGTACTTTGAATCTTCAAAATGTGTTCAATATATGTCTGTGGCTTTATTTACAGAATTTGTAAAATAGTATATGAAGAATAAAAATAGCAAATTATATGTAAGATGTCAAATATATTGAGAATACAAATCAATAAACACTCTATGTTGAGAATAAAAATTAATGATACAAACGACATTTGTATACTGTAAATACAGTGCCTACCACAAAAAGAATTCATTTTTTAGGCCTTTAAAATAATTTTTATAGTTGACCTGCATTGATAGTTATAAAAAAAATCAGCTGCTGTTAGTGTGTATTATAATAATATTGATGCAAAAAAATACACACTGTAAAATCAGAAATGAATGCATTCATTTTATAAGGCGAATCCTTGACCTCTGGTAAAAAAGCAAAATCTTGTTACCGCGATTGCAAAAGTTTTATGAAGAAGAATCACAACTGAAACTGATACTGTCGCATTCTTTGCATTAATAAAAGCATCACAATAATTTCTGAATTTACAGTAGTTGGATTTCTATATAGATTTTACTTTTGTTAGAGGAAGACATTTCAGATTGTGTTATATGACAATCACATTTGGAATTAAGTTGTATAAAAAAAACATTCAAACCCCTTCCCCTAAACACAAAAACAACAATAAAAAAAACACACCAAAAATTCCTGACGAACATTATTTAAAAATCTACATATTATACATCCCTGTAGATTTGAAAGAATTAGATGTGATGAGAAACATATAATTATATTTTACTTGACTTTAGTTAAATTGATAAATGTATTGAAATATGGATGACTTTTTAAGAACGTCCTATGAAAGTTGTTCAATTACAGCATAAACACATGCAATATTTTATAAAAGGTCATTTTTGTTCTTCTGGTTTTTTTTCCTGTTTTTATTGGTTCTTTTTTAGTATTTGGAAAAGTTTACTAGTTATAGTAAGCTTTATGAAATAGCCAGTTTTCATTCAAGATACATCTTTATTTTTTTTTAATGGATAAGGATTAACAATAAAAACACTTTTTGTCATTCTTGATATTTCTTAAATTTTACATCGATTTTTTAAACAATATAGGGATGAAAAGGGACAATGTCCATTCACCAACTCTTCAATCAATAAATTCCTCAAAGCAAGTTAAACCTGGTTTTCAAATTCACATAAATTCTGCCTAATTGTAAGGCATTTTATTTTCAACCTTTTTCTCTTTGAATTTTTAACAAAATAAAAAAAATATTGTTCCTCACATTTCTTGCTACTCCTCCACATATATATGCTCCACTAAAGATTCAGCAAGCCAAGATCTACTAACAAGTCAAATTTTGCCGATATAGTAAGTCGACTGTCACTCTTTATAGGAGTGTGTGCCCTTAAATGAGGACCTTTTTCACCCTCTTTTGTGTTTTGAGCAAAAGCTAAAGAAGATAGAGAGAAACTAAACAGACTAAATGATCAGTAATACAAGATCAACCAAACAGAGATTTTTATCATGAATTCTATTCTCGTCTACTATGTTTGATAGTGCCCTTGGTTGAATATGCACATATGCCAAGGTGAGCGACACAGGCTCTTTAGAGCCTCTAGTTTAGTCAAATTATCAGGTTTCATGTATATTTATTAATTAACATTATGATAACAATTTATTTGAATTGTTTGGTTTTTTTTTTTACTACAATGACCATTGAGGCCAGTGTTGAATTTGTTTCTTGTCAGCAATGGTTTGCAGAGCATGCTTGAATTTCCAAAAAAAAAATCTTTATCTGACATTTAAAAAATTCTTCTGTGAACAAACACAGTAAACTTAAACAAATGTTTCTTTTGTTTCTAGAAATTCAAACCAAATGTACATTCGTTTTATTGGGTCTGGATTGTGTCTCCCCATTAGAGAATAATTGGTGAAAAAAAATTAAGAAAAGAGAGAAAAGTAGAAAAGCATGAAATATAGCGAATAATTGGATGATAAAATATAAATAATTGTGAATAACAAGCAAAGCAAAAATATAAAGATTGGAAAAAATGACCTTAAAAATCAAGAACACAAAAATGACGATTCCCAATTCAGACCCTCTCTATTGCCATGACACAGAACTTTGTTGTAACTTAACTAAATGTTTTCATTTTACATTCCATTAGATTGATGTTCGTCATTTAGCTCAGAATCATTCGATTTCTATTTTTTAATCAATTTGGATAAGATTTTGTGATATAATTTACTATTTTAGTTGTCAATACATGACATTTTTCATCATAATTTTCAAATTCATTTATCAAAGTTGGTTGCGAAATTTCATAGAGATAATCATGATTATGATTTATTATTCATTGAATGCGTTCACACACTGGAGAATATGTTAACTCTTAAAGCAGATATTTGATGTTAATGTAGATAAAACAATTATCAGGATATAATGGCAGTAGAAAGTCTCAGAATAGTTAATTTACTAAAGCTGTATGATTATTCTTATTATTAAGTTATTATAGTTTTATGAATTAAATCTGAGTCATTTATTATTGTACACAAGAAATTTTTATGCATGCTTATTTTGCATACTATTATTAATTTAATTAACTCATTTTGATTGTTAACCTTTGTTAGGAATCCGAAAGTAAAAATAAACATTGTTTAAATTTCTGGTAGAGCTTTATGACCAAACAGACTTTAATAAATAACCAAATCAACCTAGAGCCAATTTCAACCGAGGAAGTTGGAACTTGAGTTTCCTAATATTTCATTACTAATCAAAAGAGATCTTTTAAATGTTATATCATCAAAGATTGGGGCTAATATACAATTTTCTGTACACATAAAACTGGCAACAAAATATAACTAAATGATTTTAATGACTGACTAATGTTTGACATATTTATGACTTGAAGAAAATGTGAATAAATATTTGGTTGATAAGAAAATTTAATATAAAAGTGACTTTAGAGATTGTAGGAAACACAGATCGTGATTAATAAATAAACTAAGTAGATGTTGCATAAATAATCAAGCATCTTGATTTTTTTGAGGGGCAAATTGTGATGTGTCAACTCCAAACGCAACTGAAATTTCAAAGAAAGCATTTTAAAATACAAATTTTGAATACTTTTATTGTGATTTGTCATGAAATTTTATACTATTTACAAAGATCACACTCGGTCATGCTGGGGAAAAGGAAAGAGATTTATGATATAGCAGGACAGATTTTATTGTGGTGTACTTATATGAATGTTTCTAAAAAGGATAATACAAATATACATACTGCAAACTTTTTAATTGTGCCCTTGGTTATACTCTTATCAAAGTTAATTACCAACATTCTGTTTTAGTTAAAAATTTATATCCACACTATACAAAGTTATTTTTTATTGTTTTTAGATTAAAAACAATACGAGACAAATACATGCAGTCAAAACTGTTTACAGAAATGTAAGGAAACATGATATGAGTTGTGCCATGAATAGTTGTCAACTTTAATCAGTGCTTTTTATGCACTCTCTTCAATAGCAGTGAGCATGATGTGTTCTGGTTTGTGCATGCCTCAATCTGTTTATTTATTTGATTATCAGTCCCTTTAATGGTTAAAGTTTAGGTGTAAAATATATATAGGCTAAAGATATATAGGCTAAAGATAAATGTATCAGGTAGATAACCATGAAGTTATGGTCGTCTTGATACTATGTACCCTTGCTGATATTTTCTATTTTCCTGATATCTCATGACTATACAGACCAAACGTTTTACTAATCAAGCATTTTATGTTTTGTCATTTTGAAAGATGCAAAAGATAATTCATATTTTTTATATGTTATATGTTTAGTGTTATATTTAACATTGCCATAAAAGCGTGAGGTTTGGATAGCCACAAAACCAGGTTCAACCCACCATTTTGTCTTAAAATGTCCTGTACCAAGTCAGGAAAATGGCAGTTATTAACTTATATTTCGTTTCTGTGTGTGTTGCATTGTCGTTTGTTTTTTGTTCACTTCAGTGTTTCTGTTATTTCATTGTTTTCCTCTTATAATTGATGTGTTTCTCTCGGTTTTAGTTTGTAACCCGGATTTGTTTTCTCTCAATTGATTTGTGACTTTCGAACAGCGGTATACTACTGTTGCCTTTATTCTATATCATCGCACAATCTTCCTTTTTTTAAAGACGCATTAATTTCAATTTTTAGATTTTAGCATTCCTTCATATTACCACATTGTGAAAATCTTCTGATGATCTGTTGTTCTAACATGACGTAATTCCAAGATATCTGCGGATGAGTATTTATATGGTTTGCAGGAATATACAGGCACACCTTTTTTTCTGTTGAAGCAAGACCATTATAGAAATCTATGCAGCATTTTGTTACATTTTTATTGACGACCATTTGATGCAGAAGGGGAATGGGAAGGCACATTTTAGAACTAAAAATGGGAAATATTTAGAGTACTTTGATTTCTGCATAGCGGTCATTTGCCTTTACATTACAATGGGATTATATATGTCCCAGACATGAATATGCAAACATGCCAATTCCTAAGTCAAATCAGCAATTTGTCCGCAAATAGGTGAATTGTACATGTTTTGCCTACTGTTCATGTACAAATGAACAATTGCTATATAAAATAACGAAAATTCGTGAAAAAAGCAATATTCAAATAGAAATTTAGATGCAAGAAGAGATTCTACATGAAATGTCCGCATATAGGGAAACACCTTGCAGGTTGGATTTTCAGGGTTAATAACTTTTATATCACCTGGTGTTTTTTTTTTAAGTTTTCGGCCAATTTTTTTAAAAACATGATGATTTCAACCTTCCCATTTCGTAGATAGTAAATTTTTAGGCATTTTTCCCTTAGAATTACACAACATATTTAAAATATCTACCAAAGGAAGTTTGCAAAGACACGTTTGTTTTAGATCTAAGACGGAAAAAGACTTGATTATCCTCAAATTTGATATAATTTATATTTTTATAATCTACAACTAAGGGAAGCAATTCAATCAAAAGGGCCAAAGTGATACGGTGCAAATCCTAAGCATCAAG